CAACTGGGATTTTTGTCTTGTCCAGTGGGGTCTTGTTTAAGGGTTTGAGAAATAAGATCAATTTTTTGGGACTCTGACAGATGACCTACCTTGAATGAATAATTAAAAGAGTCAAGCATTGGTTGTTTTAGTGTATTGAAGAATATCTTATAAAATTCAGTAGGAAGTCCATCAAGACCTGGAGACTTTCCACTTGAAAAAGATTCAATAGCTATCTTTAATTCCTTTTCAGTTATTAATCCTTCACAACTATTACATTGGTCGATAACACGTGGGGCGGTCTTGGAAAAAAGTGTAATAATACATCACTATCTGAAGACATGGGTGGATCTTCAAACGCATAGAGATTGGAGTAGAAATGTACTTGCTCTCGCAGAATGTTTTGAGGATCCGTGAAGGTCAATCCATCTGCAGTCACAAGTTTTGTCATATTTTTTTTTCCGGCATGGCTTCTGCTAACTAAATTCATGAAGAATTTGTTGCATTTTTCCCCCTGCTCCATAAATTTGGCTTTTCTGCTTGCAATCAAATTATTAGCTTTTGTTTGGTAAATTAATTCTAGTTCATGTTTTTTCTTCTGTAATTCATAAAATGTATCACTATCTGGGGATGAGTCTAGTGTTTCTTGCAAGTTGTCGATCTCCTTTATGAGAGATAGTTCAGAATATCTGCTTTGTTTTCGTTTCCATGAGGAGAATTTAATTATTTGGCCCCGGACGGCACACTTGAAGGACTCCCACACCATGTGAGGATTAGCTGAACCGTTATTAAACATAAAAAATTCCGAGATGAAGTTAGAGATTTCCTTAACAAAAGTTGGGTCATTTAAGGCCGTGTCTATACAGAATCACCCAAACCGCGATTCGGGTAACTCACATTCCTCACATCTGGTCCACGTGCCACACACACCTGTGAAACCGTGTCCGAACATAATTCGCTTGAGCTACATTTATTGCTGTTTGATGATAACACGCAAGGTGGCGTGTTATTAATGTCAGAGGTCATCGACCTGCTTGCTTATGCCCCCCTCCCAGCGTATCTCGGCCGAATGCCGACGTGGTCCCGCCAGAGGCGGTGAAGCTCGCCCTAGAACGGACCCATTATTTGACCATTACTGCTCTTTAAGTTGCTGCCACGTAAAAGTTGGTATTGCATATAAATAAAGAAATAGCACCCCGTAATCCACGACCAGGCGAAGTTACATTGAAATCACATTGCGTTCAGACGCAAATCGCGATGCGGGGAAACCGATGTCAAGAAGTGGCTTGGGATCGAGGCGCTTTCAATGTGATTTCGGAGCGTTCAGATGGAGCCACCTGAAACCGGCTTCGGGGTAAAACACATGTAAACCGCCTTGGGTGATTCCGTTTAGACACGGCCTAACAGTTCTTGATTTAATTTCCAAAAACCAGGGCCCTTGTCGTTACAGAAGTTGTTACAGAAAGGCCTATTAAAGAATGGTCTGATCTTAAACTGTCCTCAATTACAACGTTGTCAATTTGGGAGGATAATGAAAAGGATACCAAAATGTAGTCAAATGCGACTCGACACGAAAAACGGTATTTACGGATGCTTAAACTATGCTTAAAGTCAACGTACATTCCGTCTTTACTCATCTATACACGTCTAATACGAGTACGTAAAGATCGACGTTACGTGGTCTTTCCGTAGCTGCGGATGGATCCTTATTTTCCGGTTTTCACGTAGCCTTTAAACACTTAAAGATGTCTTATATGATGATTAAAATATTTTTAAAATGTAAGTAAAGTTGACGTATTTTCATTCTTTAAGCATTTCAAGGATAATACACGTATGTGTAAAGATGACGGAAAGGTGCGGATGGATCCGTATTTCCGGTTTTCACGTAGCCTTTAAGCACTTAAGATGTCTTAAATGATGATTACAATATTTTTAAATTGTAAGTAAAGTTGACGTATTTTCATTCTTTAAGCATTTTTAAAGGATAATATACGTATGTGTAAAGATGACGGAAAGGTGCGGATGGATCCGTATTTTCCGGTTTTCACGTAGCTTTTAAGCACTTAAAGATGTCTTAAATAATTATTAAAATATGTTTAAAGTGTAAGTAAGGTTAATGTATTTTCATGCTTTTAGCATTTATTACGGCACATATAAGTGTGAGTAAAGATGACGGATAGGTGCGGATGGATCCGTATTTTCCTGTTTTCACGTAGCCTTTCAGCTCCTTAAAGTTGCCATAAATACTTTTTAAAATGCTCTTATAACGTATTTAAAGTTCACGTTTATTTCTAATTGAAACATTTTTACGGCCAATATACGTGTGTGTAAAAGTAGTCATTTGTTGCGTATATGGTTTACGCACAAACATACAATACTAATCTACAGAGCTACAACTATACACGTACACGTACCTGAGTCCTTGGTCACGAACTGACTAACACAGCGATTGTCTCTTCCGAGCTCAACTCTGTTCACAATAGTCCTTCACCTGATTGGTTGCTCTCACCAACCAATCAGTGCCTACCTAACGCGCAAATATATGCATAGCTCTCTATAACAAGTCTTTCCACATGGTCATTTACATATTACCCTAATTATACAGATCATAATAAGTCATAACCGTTACACATGGATAAAGATTAAACACGTCGTATGTTTGTTGAATAAACGCTTCGTATCATAGAGGTATGGTATGGTTGTGGTATGGTATGGTTTATTTCAGTTGATACCTCTTAGTCACTTGGCTGAATTACGTACAACTTACAAAATGTCTCTAACTGAGTCACATCCGAATTAAAAGTGTTACACAGATTACGATAATTTACGGAAATTGTAAACTAAATTTGCGATAATTCCACATATGATCAATTTCTTTCAAAAAGTCAAGTATTAAGAGCAGACAAATTCAGTATCAATTAGTTTTAAAATCTAAAATACTACACACATTTCATTAAGAGAAGTGGCATTAAAAGTAGTAGGGAATCCATATATAATCATTTTCTTTGAACATTTCGATATTTAAAAAGACAACAACAATTTCGATTACTAGTAGTTCTAAAATCAAACAAACTACGCACATTTCATTGGGAGAGTGGCATTGAAAGGATTAAAGATTGCAGGAGAATTCTGGACAAGGAAAATCGGTAGTATTTAGCTCTATTAACAGCTATTGAGTAATCTTGTTAGGTACGGAATGGGGGAGTCTCTGTATCTCTTAGTTTTGCACTTAATAGTTCTTAGTATGTCAGAGTTCCTAGTGGTGATGCCGTGGCTGTCTCCAGTTCTCGGTGGGAGCATTTCTGGGCTCAGGTTTCTGGCAAATTTTAGGCACAGATCCACCCGTCGTTCTTGGAGCGACTTCAGGCCTGTGTTGAGCAGAGCGCTCTTGTAGTCGGTGTAGTTCATGCCAAGAATGGTTCGTAGTGCTCTCCTCTGGATTCTTTCTAGTCTCGTGGTTTGTGTTGCTGTGAGACCAGAGTGCCACACTGGCACACAGTACTCTAGCACTGATCTGACGTAGGTTATGTATATTTGTAGTAGGTCCTCAGTGGATAGGCTGAAACGTTTAATTTTTCGTAGCATGGCCAGCCGTCCGTTAGCCTTATTGATGGTCTTGTCTACGTGCATATCCCATTTTAGGTTCTTTTGGATCCAAACCCCAAGGAGACATGTGGCACAAACTACCTCTAGCTGCGTTTGGTTGATGGTGAGGACTGGAAGCGGGGGTGGATATTTCATAAAGCAGATTACCATTGCTTTGCATTTGTCCGGGTTTAGCAGCATGTGGTTGTGAAGGGACCAGTCTTGAAAGTTGTTTAGCTCCATCTGCATCACTGAAGGTTTGTTGTATGTGTGTGATTCCGCCAATGATAGATCATCCACATATTTCCAGCGCCCAACGGATGCTTGTCTCATGGCATCGTCGAAGACGACCAAGAAAAGGAGGGGACCCAACAGTGTCCCCTGTGGGACGGAGCATGTGAGAACCTCCCATTCAGAGAGATGACCCCTATAGCGGACTCGCTGACGTCGTCTGGTCAGGAAGTTACTGATCCATGGAATGATGCTCGCCCGTGTGCCTAAATCAATCAATTTCTGTATAGCTATTGTGTGGTCGATTCTATCAGTTCTATTAGTCTTAGGAAGACAAACGTCAAGGTCAAATATGGACCTCCTGGTGGATGACCTTGGTACTGCAGCAGAACTTCCGGTTTTTGTATCTTTTGTCCTGAACATGCTATGGTCTTGATGTTTTGACCATAGCATGACAGATTGCTTTTCCTGTCAGGAATAAGTGGTGTGAGTTTGGTCCCCCTAGCAGCTTGTTCTGGAACTGCAGGGCACTTTCTGGCAAATGTTTAAAAGCCAATAAGTCCAAATAGGAACGACATATTTTCATATTTTTTGGTGTGTAGGTAGCTGAGAGATGTACATAATTAAATGCAAATCATGCAAACGAGGACTTAATTTGCATAATTAATGAGGAAATTCTATGATTACAGTGTTTTACACTATACTTATTCTATGATTTCTTAATGGTGAATAATGGGAATGTCATACTTGGGACATCTGTAAGTTAATCAAAAGTAAACGTACATCACGATGCATATATCATGTTAATGCGGAGGTAATTTGCATAATTAAAGAGGAAATTTACATTTACATATCAAGCCCATATTTCATGGAGGTATGAGATCTCGGAATTCTTGTCTTGATTATGTGACTTAGTTACAGATATAATTATCGTGATCATTCTGCATGGTTTGATATTGTTTCTTTGAAAGCCAGTACAGAAAAATATTTGAATCTATTCAAATAGATTGACCAGTATTATGCTAATGTAATTCATTTCTTTTTGCTTGACAGTCTGGGTTATTTATGGCTTTATGTAGTTATTGGGGTCCATTCCCTATTCAAGCAACTGGGAAAGTCACATTGGGGAGTACTCATTGTTTGTGTGCCCTGACTTTAGAAAATGGAATTTTAAAATCTGCTAACACGCATTCTCAAATTTCCAGTTTTGACTACAGCCCAAGTCAAAGACTGTTTGGAAGATGATGGGGCATCCTACCGAGGAACAGTCTCTGTGACCGAAACAGGCCGGACCTGTCAACGCTGGGACAGGCAGACACCCCATGGGCACGACAGGACTTCTGCTAACTACCCTTCCTCCGGGTTGGAACAGAACTACTGCCGGAATCCTGACCACGAACCTACCCTCTGGTGCTACACCACGGATCCCGGCAAGAGATGGGAGTTCTGTGATGTACCATACTGTGATGGCACACTCGGTAAGGTTTCAGGTTTTTTACCTCCATGAAAAATGGAGGTATTGTTTTTGGCGTGTCTGTCTGTATGTATGTATGTATGTATGTCTATCTGTGTGTGTTTCCGCAACTTTGTGGTCAGCATAACTTCAGAACGCCTCAATGGATTGTGATGATATTTGGTATTATGGTAAGTCTTAGAAAGACGAAGGTCAAGGTCAAGTATGGGCCTCCTGGTGGATGACCTTGGTACTGCAGCAGAACTTTCGGTTTTTGTATCTTTTGTCCTGAACAAGCTATGGTCTTGACTTTTTGGTGACAGATAGCTTATCCTGTCAGGAATAAGTGGGGTAAGTTTGGTCCCCCTAGCAGCTTGTTCTGGAACTGCAGGTTAGTTTCTGGTAAAAACTTTCAAAGCCAATAAGTCCAGATTGGAACAACGTAGTTTCATCATTTTTGGTGTGTAGGTACCTGAGTGACAGTTGTTCATGATTAAAAGCAAAGTATGCAAATGAGAACTTAATTTGCATAATTAATGAAAATTCTATAATTACAGTGTTTCATATAGTTTCTACGGCAGGCGGAACATCAACAGATACCAATTATGCAATTGGTGACCTAATTTGCATAATTAATGTGAACATTTTGTGACTCCTCATTGGTGAATGATGGGAATTTTATACCTCGTGACATGTATAAGTTACTTATACATGTATAGTATAAGTATGCATATATTATGTTAATGTAGAGTTTTTTGCATAATTAATGAGGACATGTTGAAATGAAGTATGACAACCAAGCCCATATTTCATGGAGGTATGAGATCTCAGAACTCTTGTGTTAGATATGTTCCCTTATGTATAATTTGTTCCGAGGTCATATGGCAATATATCTGTTCCAAAAATACGGAGCGAATTATGTGACATTTTTTCCTTAATTCATGTCACATATGATACGTAAAACACGTCACGTCCGACCTATTACAAACACGTCACACTTAAGCTAGTCATATGTGACTATTACCTAAGTAAGTGTCACGTCCTTCTATCGATAACTTAGCTAACGATTTAGTGACTTCAGCTTCGGTCGGACGTGACTTTTCCACAATAGACTACTGACTATGAACGAGCGACACCTTGCGGAATTTGTATGAGCAGAAACAGGGACTTCGCCCCACTTTGAATTCAAGTCACATATCCAACACAGTACGTGGCATCCTCTATAGTATGTCTCGTCCGACCTACCACCAACTAGTCACATACACAGCGCCATGTTTAAATGTCGTAATGTGCGAGGTAAAGTTTGTCACTCTCCTCACCTCACGTCACGTCCAACGTAATAAACGTGGCGTCCGCCTTACCACAGATACGTCACATATCAGTGTATATGACTCACTTACGTCCAACGTAAAATAATAGTACGTCACGTCCGACGCAATATACGTGACATCCGACCTACCACAAACACGTCACACATACGTCACGTGCGACATACCACAAACACGTCACCTCCATCTTAATATACGTGACGTCCGACTTACCACAGATACGTCAGATATCGAATCAGTGCACATTGTTTAGAAATAGAAAAAGGTCGTTATAAGAATGTACCAGCCACTCAGAGACGCTGTCCTACATGTAAACATACTGTTGAAGATGAATCTCACTTTTTATTATCTTGTCCCATGTATACTGAAGAAAGGTTGACACTTATGAATATGATTTCACGTAACCCAAACATTACCTTACCTAAGACAAGCTCAGATACTTTTAATTTACTGATGTCATGTCCTGAACCAATATCCTTGTATATAGGCCAATTCGTATCCTCTGCTCTTCGGAAAAGAAACAATATCATCTGTGACACCTTGAACTGATGTTAACATTGTATCCATGTTCCATATATATTGTATAATTCATCACGCACAGTTATAGGGTAGCGTTAGAATAAGGTATCTAGAAGTAGATTTTAATATTGTTATTATCTTATATTATTTAAACACTTGCCATACATTGTATCCATTGCAATTGTTGCGCAATAAAGATTGATTGATATCAGTGTATATGAGATATGACTCAGGTCACGTCCAACGTAAAATACGTGACGTCTGACGGACTCTGACTCTGACCTACCACAAACACGTCACATATCAGGGTGTGTCACGAATGGAAAACGCACCGATACATTGCGTGTATATGAATCTGCAATATCCGTGTCAAAATTAATACCTAAAATACATGTGCGTAAGTTTTTTTTTATTTTTTTTTTTGGCAGGCTTTTTCGGTATAAAACCCAAATGACCTGATATCTGAGATGGGGTTACCAGATTTAATTCACGTGTTTGGTATATACTTAAAATAGTGTAAAACTAAAAAATGACTTTACAGAAACTTGGTAAGGGGAACTTGGAAGTGGCCATTTTGTATGGATGTATTTTGGAAGGGTACATTCCTGCAGGCGGGGTCAAAGTATATTAAAACTGAAATTCCGAGCGGGATTATATTGTGAGTAAAGGTAACTTTTGGCTTATTGATTTCTGCAAGGTGTTAATATAGAAGCAGTTCATTTTGAAATGGGGAGGGAGATGGCGTCAAATATGATGTATTTCCTCCCGAGTAAATACCTGACTTTCTCGTTTTACATGTATGTTCTTTTCTGAATCTGTCCTATTTCAGCAACAATGAAATAATAATAATGAATGGTTTATTTAGTTCAAAAACCCATGCCACAAACTTAGCAGCCACAAAGGCTGAATTGCGTTACGACATTTACAATTCAAGTCATGATTAAAAACATATTTACATCAACAGGCATAAAAATTCGTATATATACATGCTTAAAACGTATTTACATAAAACTACACTTGCAATTTGGGTAGAGGCATGATTAGAACTTATTTGCATAAAAATACGGAGTTTAAAAAGTTCTATACAGCATTGTATCAGAGGATAATACTGTGACATGAAAGATACCGCCATGCATATGAATTGGCACTGTACTTTCTTCCTCTTGAATCTTACAGATTGTGATTTAAAGCTGTACATTTCTTGGTGACTACTTTGGTTTGCCACATTGTCACACACGTCGTCAGCCTTAAAAGTTTTTTTTTAGTTTAACAAAATCACTTGTTGTACCAGGCGACTCACAGAAGATCATCTTTCCCGGTCCAAGAGGCATTGATGACTATGCCAGGATGGAGACCACATTGTCTGAGGACTTAACCAGCTTTACCCTCTGTGTGCACATGCGCTCCAACATGAATTCCATCAATGACATGAACCTTGTCAGCTACGCAGTGTCACAACACAGCAACGAGCTTCGCTTGTTTCTTAATGGTGGATTTAAAGTAAATATACAGTCGCTTTCGATATTGGGCTTCTGCTGCCTATTGCTTTCTTATACCGAATATGTAAACTAACCAATGTAAAAGGATTTGCAAGTGTGTCCTGATAGTTTTTGTAGAGCTATTTTGAATTTCAATTTGTATCCAAAGTCAAGCACAAGGATCTATTTTATGTCGTGACTGGAATGGAAGACAAATAATAAAAAAACAACCCAAATGAAATAATTTTAAAAGTCAAGATGAAAAAAGAGTGAGGAAAAATGCTTAAAAAATTGCCCACTTAACCTCCATACGAAATTCTGTTGACAAATGAAAAATAAAGATTCCACTTAACGAAATGGTTTCGAAATAAATGAAATAAAATGAAATGGCAGGAGGAGACGGACATGGGAGAAAACTGATATGTTTCATCAATACCTTGTTTATTGAGATCTCCATTAGTATGGTAAATTCCATACTATTCTTCCTGGAGTCCAGCAACATAAAATAAAATAACGATGATTATAATAATGATAGTTACTTTTAGCAATAATAATAATAAATAAAGCATACAAAATTGTGCTAAAATTATGACAAACTGCACTGGAGGTCAGAGGTCAAATAATAGAAATAATATGTCTGAAATGTCATATCAGTAATAATTGATGTACTTGCCCAATACAATCAATGGAAAATTGAAGTAACAAAACAAAATATTGCAACTGACATAAATGATAACAAATATAAATCAATAACATATAATGTGAAAATATTTTTTAATATTTTGGCTGATAAATCAGCTCAGGTAATTTTTTTAGTTATCCTTACAAGACGGCATCCGAGGGGCTGACCCACCAGTTTTGGACGGTGAGTGGCACACCGTGTGTACTACCTGGCGCAGCAGTGATGGAGCCTGGCAGCTGTACGCTGACGGCGTGCTGACGGCTTCAGGCTCGGGTCTTAAAGTGGGAAGAAGAGTGCGCAGAGGCGGAACATGGATCCTCGGTCAGGACCAAGACCGAGTCGGGGGAGGATTCGCAGCGAGCGAGTCGTTCATCGGAGAACTGTCGGGAGTGAACCTCTGGGACCGCGTGCTGTCTCCAGCAGAAATAGCAGCGGACTGTAGTTACCATGGCAACGTGGTTGACTGGGATACAACTAACATTGGAGTCTTCGGAGACGCCAGCAGGGCTGAGTATCATTGCAGTAAGTAGTACATGCTCATAAATGTATGGTGTTCTTTACGGCTTTACAGGACCTGCACAGGTATGGGGACACGTAAATGTGTCTTAGACAAGCTTTTCAGCACCAAGGAAAGACCCTGTCATAATCATCAATCTACACAGTATTTTATACTGCCTTTTCCAAGCTACGCAAACTAAAATACTAATAAAAATTAGTGCATCTGAACATATAGTTTAGATGATTTAAGGAAACCTGCCAAGAAGTAGGTATGATGAAATTAGACCTGGTAATTAAAGCACATGACAATTATATAATTCTAAAGTGGTTAATGGTGGTAATTTTAAATCTGTGGCATTTCGAAGTTCAGTGAATGTAAACGTTGCTAAACAGGACTATATAACGTTACATCTGTATACATTTCTATATGTACAATACCTCTATAGCACATATCACAGTTGGTACCTGGCTACCTCTCACATAAGACTTTCTAGTCAGACTTCAAACAGTTGAAGTCTTC